AGGGGAGGGGGCTGGACACCGCTTGTCACGCTCGTCTCTCTGCACTGGCCACCCACCAACTGTCTCAAGGCTTACAACTAGTCCCTTGATATGTGCGCTATGCTTGCACTTTTCTACGAAATGCAAATGCATTCGTTTGGGGGGCAGATGGATGCTAGGAAGAAGCAGGTGCCCGACAGGGAAGGGGTAGGGGGACAGGCCAGTAAAATATGATTGATGTGATGTCTGATTAGTTGTTAGAAATAAGTGATTTGTGATCCAAACCCCAAAATTACAATTAAAATAGGAAACATTGATAATTTAAAATATATCTATAATATTAATGTAAGGGACACAATAAACATAAAAATTTTTCCTTGGGAACTACTGATCGCATATCTGAGTCTAGTTCTTACAATTAGCCTCGAAACCAGTGCGCGCAAAAACATATTTTTGTCTCCTGTTGATCTATTCTCTTTCTCTTTCTTTTACATATGGCAAATACCAACTTGTTTTGAAAAAAGTTGTTCGTATTTTGTTTCGAATTTTACCTAATATTTTGCTCAGAATTTGGCAAGATTTATAGTTAGTTTTGAAAGCTCTTGGCTCGTTATACTAAACTTCCACTCTGTTATTTCGATTTGGATTGTCCCGCAAAAATTCGGATTTGAGGAGATAGTAGTCCGACCCGAAAATTCCGACAGTTTTTCCCATGATTTCTGCATCTTCACCTGCTTCTGTCTATTTACCAAAGTTTATGTCATTTTTCGAATATCGGCGAACGTAGGATTTTTTTTACAACGAGCATTTCGTCTCTGGTATTTGCGTAAATTTGAGTAGGTGAAACATGAATGTTTTCTTGCTGTTCTATTCTGAAAGCACCTCTTGATCTAGGAGAGCAGAATTTTCAAAAGGTTAAGCACTAGAACCAAAAACGCGAACGACTTCAATACACAGCTTGGTATATAATAAGTTATATTGACAATTTTTATGGAGATTAATTAATCTTGTAAAAGCCAAGTCTCTTTTCCTTCCTCCCCGCTCCCCTCCCCGTAAAAGAATTTCCTAAGAAGCGCTGGAGGTACTAATTACAATGGTCAAATACCCAGGGATCGGCACAGGTGGCTTGTAGGCAAGCTGGATATCGTTTCTGAGACAAAAAGCAAAGGGGGTATCGTTTTTGAGGCCGAAAAGACGCAAGAATTGTGGAGCTTTTTCAGTCGACGTTTCGTTTATAAGGGATTTTTTAGGTTTAGGGTTTAGGGTCAAAGGGGACTTCGTAGAAATTCGCGAAAGTCAGAGGGGGACTGCGTTTTTTGCATTTTCCAAAAGCCACCCCGTGCCAAGCTCTGCAAATACCATAGTAGATTAGACTTCCGTAAAAGAAATAAGAGTTCCGTAGAAATGCGCCATCAAGCAGCCATAAACGCTGCATGCCTTCGTCTATGAGTACGCGGTCACTGAACTTGAATTAATCGAATGGCATGAATACCTGAACAATAAAAAGGGTTCAGAAATACTGGACATTGCTCAAAACTTCCTGAACTGGCAGTGATTCCCACTATATAAAAAGTCTTTTGAAAGCGGCATGGATGGTCTAAATATGTAAATTATTGAGTTGTTTCAAACGTTCCCGTTTTGGTACCTCTTTTTGAACTGCTAACTTCGAAGACGGAAAACATTTTCCATGAACAATGCCTCCATTACTGAAAGCCCTCTTCTTTTGATTCTTAAGCATGTTGTCGATTTCATGGATTTCGATTTCATTGTTCATTCTGTGTGCCCGTACCTTGAAAGACAGCAAAACAAACGCTGCAAATTCTTTTTGCTCTATTGCCGCGAGAACTACAGCCACAATGTCGAAAACTTGTGTTACGAAATGCTTATTTATGATTTTGGGAAAATTTTGAGCATTTTTTAGCATAAGTATGGCCTGTTGTTGTAATCCGTTCAAGTCGCATAAAAATTGTAAGCTCTGTCTACGAAACTTTCCCTCTATATAGTGAAATCAGGCCTAGAGTATTTATTACTAAAAGATCGAAAAGAGTTTTTGATTGTAAGCAGCGAACAAGATTGAAAATTCGTAAAGAGCTTTATTCTGCCACTTAAAGAAATTGAAATAAGTGGGTTCTTTCGAATATTTTTTTGCATTTTCATGAAGAAGTTTCGAGAAATGCAAGACTAGCACTACTGCTCATCCAAGTACGGCTACAAATGAGCAATATTATGTAGATCTGCTACATTCCAAATAAAGTTATGATTCCTCAAGTATAAAAGAGGACGTTCGAAGAGTTTCGTCTGAAATCTTTTTGCTGTTGTTGCATTTTTGAACGTGCATAAAGCTGCCAAAGATTTGTAGATGGTAACACACTTAGATGTGTTCCAATCATCATTTAAAAAGAGTTACGGCAAATCAAACAAGAATTTCAAGAACGGGTAGAACTTTCGTAACAACCCGCCAAATTTATCATCTAGAGCCCTGAGTTTCAAGCAGTTCCGCTCTATCAAAATACGAAATCATGGAACAACATTTGGCGGAGGGATACATCACATCTTTTTGATACCTAGGTAAAGAACTGGAGCGAAATTCTCGGGTTTGCAGAAGTGGATTTCATTGTTAGCAAAAATGACTGCTGCACACAACTTACACTTTGGGCTTCAAAATGTTGTCTGCAGTTCCAATGTTTCACATTCCACAGACAGAAAGTTCCTTTTGGCTTCTTCCGCTTTACGATACTGTCATAGAACAGCTTCTGTTCTTTTTACATAAAAGAAGATCACTGATTCGGGAAGAATTGTTTTTGATCAGTCGTTTTTCTGTAGTAGGTTATTTCTGTTACATGCATAACTGGATCGAGTTCTAAACCTGACTGTACCAGAGAAAGTTGAGCGATGAGGTGATTTCCCATGCTTGAGTTGCTCTGAGTGAACCAGTTCAATCAGCTGAGAGGAAACCTCTATGATTTGCGTCCAAGGGCCAGTGTACAGTGAGCAAAAAATTGAGCGTAACCATGTAAGTTCCGAGGTAGAACGTTCTTGACCACTTTTTAACCAATCGAAAAGGCTTGAAAGAGAACACAGGATTGTGAAGGATTCCGGTTCCGTTATTTTTGAGCGCAATAATATATCTTTAGAATAAATTCTAATAAATTATGAAAAAAATACTTCATTCATATTGCTGCGCACACTGAATAATACTGGTTAAAAAAATCTGGATACTGTAATTCGGGATATTAAAGAGGATCCGAGTGAGTCATTGCCCAAGCGGCAGCTTGTTTGATTTATTTGTGGCCAAGATATGCAACTCTTAACTCTTGCCCAGTACCGTACTTTCTCATAAGCGACATTCGCAAGCGCGGTACGGGCGAGGGTTTACAGCTGAAATTCTCGGGTATGAATGCATCATACGAGCTGCAAATTGAAACCAGCCTTAGTAAAGATCCCATTTCCCATAAAAGTACCCACGTGACCAGATTTGTCTGGATACTTTATTCGCAATATCTGATTTATGAGATTTGAGTAATGATGAGCGCAATGCATATTTTGATCAAAAAATGCGCACATAAGTAAAACGCAGTCCTACTAATGAGACTCTTCTTTCAATCTGCAGTACACTCATGCCAGATAATCCCCTCTAATTGGACTTAATCACTTCCTTGTACTTGAGAAAAAAACTGAATTTTCAACATTATAACAATTTTCAAACCATTTGAGAATTTATCCAACATACAGTACAAAGTTTCCCTATAAATCAACCTCCCAATTTCAAAACTAAATATGGTTGTTCAGGAGTTTGAAATCCTGAATTGCCACTATGTGGATAAAAATAAAAAAAGTAGTCATTGCCCAATCTATGCACTTTGTCCCTAATTGTTTCCATAGTGACAAGGAAAGAAGGGGACGCAATGAGGTGTTTACGAATGAATAAACGTTTGGCACATAAATCTTCTTTGTTGCATAGGGAAGTAAAATTTCGCAAAAAAGATAAACGGGGATTTTCGAAAATTTTTGAATACAAGCGTTGCTCAAGACTCCGAAAAAAACATCCAGTTTCAGTTGCATTTAATTTTTGGAAATGTCACAATAACTCGTTCTCGATGAAGCGCTGATTCAAGATTCTAACAAGAAGAAAAATGAAAACGAAAATCAGTGTGAGTCAAGGAAATACTAGAAAATGCTATCGATTAGTTGCCGCGACAAATGAGAAGTAACGAAAAGTATGAATACACACTATTAATGATATACGCTGTGTTTGAGAGATGAAAAAGTAAAAACATTGTGATAAAAAGCTGAAATAATTTCTTATTTGATCTAATTAATAATGATGTAACATTCATGGTGTTTTCACCAATCCTCGCAAAACTGAGAGTTTGATGTGAAAATTTTTTTACAAAGTCGAAATGGGTGCTATGTTTTCCAGTGATTGTCTTTGAGGAGCAAGTACAGGCTACAACTATTTCTCGGAAGACTCATCCTTTTTGGATCGAGATTTTTACGTTGAACCTTTCAGTCATACATCTATTTTTACTTCACGTTTCCAATTCCGCTACGATTTATTTTGGCACTCAAAATCAACGTAAACTTGTTTTGCAAAAATGTGCGGAACCGAGTGACACAATAAAAACAATAATGATAGATTGAGAATCGTTAGCAAAATCGATGAAGTTCCTAAATTGGGCACAAGCGATAAATGTTGCGAAAACCCGGTTAGTTGTTTCCTGCAACAACTAGGAGATTATACATCAAGCGCTCAGGTTTCCCTCTATTCTTTGGTTGATCCACTCGACGTTAAGAAGACAGTATGTTTTGGGGAGAAATGTCAACAAGGTTTGGGCTTTGAAAGCGGATGAGCGTCATGTGATTTGACAACAATAGCTGAACTTTAGTAAAAGACAAAAGACAATAGAAAGAGGCAATATGGGCTATGGGCTCTAGTGACTCATTGATCGCCCTAAAGCTTTTGTTTATACAAGCTCTTGATAGTGATATCGAACAGCAATGAAGCGAAATGAAGTGCTTACCTCCACTGAGAAAGCTGCATCCATTGCTGACTGCACAGGACTGAATTATAGGATTTAAAGGACTCGAGACAACATCTAGAGTAACCCTGTCCGAATGTGAGTCGACTATAGCCTCAGTGCTCTCAGCAACCATCTCCGGCAGTGGATTATAACTCGATCGTCGAGCAGCGAAAAGCGGTTCCGGGTGCTTGTAGGGGTGCGCGTCGAGGGAGTGGCAACGGGGGACTGGCGACGGGAGGGGCCGGGCACGTCGCCTGTCGCCGCTGCTGTCCACGTCACCGGCAGAATACACATCAGCGAACTGAACACAGAACATTCCGAAGCTGTTGGCGATCCGTCGCATTGTGGGGAATCTAAAATTATTATCTTGGAAACGCGATTAGTGCTATCAACGTTCGAACAAAGTATAGTGGAGTCAAGAATGTTCAAGATGTGAGAATGCACACCCCGCGCGTCATCCCACGATTACATACAGGTAAGAGCCAGTAAAAATGCTTTATTTTGTTTTAGAAAGTTCTAATCAATGATTGAAAATGATTATTCACGCTGATTTGACCTATTTGGACTGATAAAAGAAAAGAATTAAGAGAGCGTTGCGGAAATTGCAATGTACTAGGCTGTTTCAATGTTCTGTCCGATTTGCGATTTTTTCACCTAACATCTCATAACTTTTTTCAAAATTGATACTTTTGAACAATTAAAATTTATTTGATTAAGCAAGTTTGTGGCTATCACAAGCACTGTATACGATGTAAGGAAAACAAGCGAGAGAGAAGAGACAACTCTGGAAGATTTTCTTCAAAACCGTCCAGTTTGACTTACTAATACTCTCATATGAGGATGAGCAGACATATTCGGCTGCCATCATTAAATAGCCTATACTTTAGAGGTTCTTTTGCGACTAAAAAGAGTTTAAGTTATCTTTGCTGCATAGAAATTTTTTGCGAGGAAAAAAAAGCCCATTATTTGAGCCCTCCTCCGCACGCGAAAACATGCCGACTTTCCAATATTTGATTTTTTTTGCTGAGCAAACGAAGAAAGCAAATTAGCCGATGGCTCCTGCTTGCTCTCGCTCTACTCCAACATATGCAATTTTGAATGCATACCTGTCGCTAAATGTAGATTGTTGTCGCTTGTTGAATTACTGAGTTTGTTTTCCATCTTTGAAAAAAATGTAAAAAGAAAACAATTTTCTATGTCGGAGAAAAATATGCTCATGTTAGCTTATTACACCCTCCTACCTCCTGGGTACGCCACTGCCTCACTCATTATAAAATATTATATATTTAGTTTTGCGAATACTGCTGAAGTTCTCTTCATGGAAACTTCTTGGGCATGACTGCATTTCAGCAACTTTGCTTCGAGGCTCGAAACTTCACTGAAAAGTTGATTCGCCAAGAGTCAGTGAGCACTAGAAAAAGCAGGAAAAGTACTTCTAGATGATGTTTATGAATGTTTATGACAATACCATAAGTGCAATACACTAAGAAAATAGCTGCATTGAAACAAGGCAAAAGAAAATCGGACAGAACTTTTGAATCAGCCTAGCATAAGCACAGTAGTCGTAGAATACAGCGTATGTTATGCAAACGCATATAATGAGTTACAAATCACTAGTAGTCATGATTGTATAAATTTCTCTAATAGTCTGTGCAAATGCACAATTTCGATGAGGGAGGGCCTCCCACCTATTGAATGCAAAATTCAGCTTCCATTAATAATATTTAAGAACAATAAAATAGTTAAGAATATTCACAAAAAGCACTAATTAGGCTCCATGGCTAAAAAAGTCCTGGTTCATGTACAAATTGCACAAACTGGCAAGAATACCTAAATGATGGCAGAATTGGAGATCTACTTTGTCTCTGAAAGATTGGATTCAAAAGATGAACCGAAAGCAAGAGTTCCTACAAGAAAATGATATTCATGGTGTCTCCTACCGCGAGACCCCTCCTCCTTAATATGATTTATATTTATTAAGGCTCTTAATAACACCAGTCCTTTCAAGATAACGACCTATAGCAGCAAAAATGGAGCAACTGCACATATGAGTCACAAAGCTTCGTTTGCATAGCTGATAGTGAATAATTGAACTCGACTTTACGTCAATAGACAAAAACCATCATGATAGCTTGAGAACAAGAACAGTCTTTTGAGCAGGTCGAAGCAAAAACTGAGTCATAGGCATGAGATTGTGAATTATAATAAAACAGAAAGTGATTTGGATGTTTTTTGAAAGGGAAAAGATTTGTCCGGATAAAATGTTAATTTTTGATGTTTTGAGCGAATGCCACTTCTGATTTTTCTTAACTATCCAATTATAGAGCCTGTAATACTCATCTAAGGATCGCCAGAGGACAGTCCAAAGAAATAAAACCTATCCATGCACCCGTCGACAAAATGTTTCCCATCTGAAAATTCGTTCTAAATTCATTTGCAGTAAAACTATGGACAAGGGGTGTGAAAAAAGGAAGAATCCGATCAACTGAATTAGACAATGATAACTGAATTGATGACAACTGAACTAGACTCTATTAGAGCAAAATTAGCGCAAATACATCTGTTTCAATCGGCTACAATCGGCTTCGGATCTCACAAAAAGGACTAATCAATCCATAAACAAATCCGACAGCGGAGCTCTATTCGTAACATTTACATGCAGTACGTTATGTACTCTATGAGGCCAACATGTAGGTTATCAGTAATGTTTCCATAAAGGCTTTACTGTTATTATACAGGATCCCAAAAAATGTGAACACTGTTTGATCATTTATAACTCCCTTCGATGTTTCGCCGAGCTTGAGGAACCATTCTGAAGAGCGAGGTTCAACTTAGATTTATAGTATGGAGCGAATCACCGATCCCCCTTCATTACTGTAGGATTACGTGAGAACTTCCAGCATGTGGAACCATTTTGAAATGTGCCATCTGACGAAATTTTTTTTCGGAAAATCTGAAAAATGTATTGGGGTACTCGCGCTAGGTGATTTCGCTATACAACTTTTTGCGGGTGTTTTCAGCTTTTTCGACGATGTAATCACATTTTCGAAAATGTTGGGAATTCAGTTGTTAAGCTTGACCTGGGATAACTTTGGAAAGAAGCATCACAGTAAGGTAAAAAATTCATAGTTGAAATCAAGAGGCTTCCATTATCATAGTATAAGAGTTTTCGGCTTGTCTGGTTTCGTTCCTATACAGAATATGGCCTCCAATAGCCTGAAATCCTTGTAGGAGTTCCTACCAGTCCTACAGTAACGAGGAACGATCGATGATTCGATTCATCCTGTAGATCAAAGTTTAACCACGCCCTACAGAATATCACGCACAGCGAAAGAGATGGCAAGAAGGGAGTTATTAACGATCAAACAGTGTCCACTTTTTTGGGACACCCACCCTGTATATCCTGTAAGGTTGAGGGACATTTTCCGCAACATCACAGAGTGTAAAAAAAGAATGCACAATAATTCCAAGAAAATAGACTTTTCAAACGTAGAGGCATCACCAGCAAATGTTCCGCAAAACAGGTAACAAATCATGGCAAGGCTCGTAGAAACATATAATATAGATACATGAATCATGGGCCTTTAATGCCTTCTTGCCAGAATGGTTCCTCAATGCCTTCTAGTAGAGAGCGTGAAGTGTTGCTAGGCACCAATTGTACGTTGATATAACTCAGGGGTTCTGCCCCTAATACGAAAACAAAACTTTTATTCTTACACAAAATAATCATTGCCGTTGCGGATAAAAACTATTTGGCTAACTTTTCACAAAGAACAAACTTCACTGAATTCAATTGCGAATATTTCCAATCGTATAATGATAGTTCAAAGGAAATGATTCGACCGTTTGAAGTCATCCTCAGCATTTTAGCTTATTCTACGTATTCACTTGTACATTTATTTTTTATTTATTTACATCACACATTCTAAGGAAGCATGGGTCAGTATTAAACATAGTATCCGCATAATATCTTCTCCTAAAAAATGTGGAAATCATACAAAAAGCAATATACAGGTCCAGTATGGACCTCAATGCCAAAAACTCTTCAAGTAATCCCTCTCAAAAAATAATGCTCTCCAAGCAAAGTGAAATTTGTTCTCTCCATCTACGCCTGGATTATGGCTTAGACAAGAAAGAGATAAGAATAAATTGGGGAAGTTATATTTCTCTTTAATAGCTTCTTTTGTGAAAACTGGCTTGGGTTTTTTATTTGCTGAATAATAAAAGTCTTTTTATTTGACTTGTGCAGCTGCTCGCTGAGCCCATCTATGGCCTCAGCACAAATTTCATCTTCTGCTCACCATTCCTTTTGAGCTTCAATTTCTAGTCAAGAATTATCTTGGGTACGCAAAGCTTATAATTTCTTCCACTTTTTCAAAGTCAAGTATTGAATACACTCATGCAAACGGTGCACTTTTATTTTGCTCAACTAGTAATTGTTTGCATTTTGCACCTAATTCTTGCTCTATCATCGAGACACAATCTCTGTGCTCCGCGGAAAAAAATGGCCGCTCTGCCTTCGGTCATAAAGATAAGAAATATGACTTTAGGTAATAAGCACAAGCACAATGCCTTCGGCGCCGATCAAATTTAGATTCTTCCGGCAAGCGATCTTTGCACACGGTACCGAAATATGTACCTTCAGCCTGCATTTTAGGGAAAGCACAAACCTTACCCCTTCTTTTAAAACTTTTTTAGAAGAATTTTAGTTGAAAATTGAATTAGCATTACATGTCCGTACACGCAATGTGACAAAAGTTTTGCTTAAACGTAAGAAACTAAAGAACTCGAATAACTTTATAATCTCACTAGCTGGCTTACCCGGCTCCGCCGTATCCGGACCAAACTTGGCACACATACACTTCAGGCCCCGGCGGGTGTCACAGTCCACTTTTCGTTATCGATCGATGTCGATTTTACCGATTTTTATCGATTTTTTTGCAGAGTTCACCTACAGGGCTAGGAGTTGGCACAGGGGGGGAAGTGAGCATGGGGATTCCGAATACAATATTAGTTTTCAGAATTATCGATTACTTTTAATGATTTTATCGATTTTTTGTAAATTTTGACATGCGAGGCTGGGATTTTGCACAGGGGGGTAATCGAGCATGCAGATTACGAATACAATATTAGTTTTCAAGATCGTCCATTACTTTTATCGATTTTATCGATTTTTTGAAAATTTGAGCTAGGGGACTGGAATTTGGCACATGGGTGTAATCGAGCATGCTGATCACCCCCCTTGGGAGTGATCAGCATGCTCGATTACCCCCCTGTGCCAACTCTCAGCCCCCTAGCTCAAACTTTGCAAAAAAAATCGATAAAATCGATAAAGGTAATCGATAATCCCGAAAACCAAT